GCTCCTTCTCGTGCCTCTGGATCTCACTTCTTCGAAGATCACGGATCCTGGATCTGCATCAGGTTTGCTCTTTTCGCTCCGACGAATTCTGAGATCTGTGATTGCATCGCCTTTTTCTTCTCTTTCCTTTCTGGGCGTTTTTGATTTCGTGTTTATCGTATAGACATTCCTTCGATATTCGCTTGTTCCTTTTACCAATTGGATCATTACTTTTGTGTGTTTATGATCCGATTTGGATCTGATTTTTCGAAACTCTGTCTTCTTGATCTGGTGAGATCTGATTCTGTATCGGTCTTTTGGATGTATATGACATTAATTCCGAATCTGGTTATTGGTGCCTTGATCTACATGCATGATGAACAGTGAGATTTTGGTTGTAATTTGGATCAAGCAATAGTCTAAAGAGATGTGTTTTTTTGTTTCATATTCAGGAAGGAAAATGTTTGGTGTCTACCGAGTTTTCGTGTTGCTGGTTTTTGTTAGTCAGACTTGCAATGGGTTTTACCTGCCTGGGAGTTATATGCACACATATTCAAATGGTGACTCTATCTATGCCAAAGTTAATTCCTTGACGTCTATAGAAACCGAGCTTCCTTTCAGTTACTATAGTCTTCCTTACTGCCCACCGCTCGAGGGTATTAAGAAAAGCGCTGAGAATCTTGGGGAGCTTCTCATGGGGGATCAGATTGATAACTCTGCTTATAGGTTTCGGATGAACACGAATGAGTCTCTGTACCTCTGCATCACCAGTCCTCTGAATGAGCATGAGGTCAAGCTCTTGAAACAGAGAACGCGCGAGTTGTACCAAGTGAATATGATTCTTGATAACTTGCCAGCTTTGAGGTTCGCGAAGCAAAATGGGGTTACTATCCAGTGGACTGGATATCCTGTTGGGTATTCACCACCCAACAGCAATGATGATTACATCATTAATCACCTGAAGTTTAAGGTCTTGGTACATGAGTATGAAGGCAATGTCATGGAGGTTATTGGCACTGGTGAAGAAGGTATGGGTGTGATCTCTGAAGCTGATAAAAAGAAGGCCCTGGGCTATGAGATTGTTGGATTTGAGGTTGTTCCCTGTAGTGTGAAGTATGATCCTGCAAAAATGACGAAGCTTCACATGTATGACCCTGTTCCTTCAGTGAACTGTCCTTTGGAGCTCGACAAAGCTCAGATCATAAAAGAACGTGAACGAATAACCTTCACTTATGAAGTTGAATTCGTGAGGAGTGAGACCAGGTGGCCTTCTAGATGGGATGCCTATTTGAAAATGGAAGGTGCTCGTGTGCATTGGTTCTCTATTTTGAATTCGCTTATGGTGATCTTCTTTCTCGCGGGTATAGTTTTCGTCATATTCCTCAGGACAGTGAGAAGGGATTTGACAAAGTACGAGGAACTGGACAAGGAGGCGCAGGCACAGATGAATGAGGAGCTGTCTGGATGGAAACTTGTTGTCGGAGATGTGTTCAGAGAACCAGAATTATCAAAGCTTTTATGCATTATGGTGGGAGACGGGGTTCGGATTACAGGAATGGCTGTTGTCACTATTGTTTTCGCAGCTCTTGGATTCATGTCGCCTGCTTCAAGAGGAATGTTACTAACCGGGATGATTATTCTCTATCTTTTCTTGGGTATTGCTGCTGGGTATGCTGGTGTTCGGCTCTGGAGAACCGTCAAGGGAACTTCAGAGGGATGGCGATCACTGTCCTGGTCGATTGCATGCTTCTTCCCGGGTATTGCATTTGTTATACTAACAGTGTTGAACTTCCTTCTCTGGAGCAGCAACAGCACTGGCGCTATCCCGATATCATTGTACTTTGAGCTCTTGGCTCTCTGGTTCTGCATCTCGGTTCCTCTCACCCTGTTTGGAGGATTCTTGGGCACAAAAGCAGAACAAATCCAGTTTCCAGTAAGAACCAACCAGATTCCAAGGGAAATCCCAGAACGGAAATACCCGTCATGGCTTCTTGTCCTTGGAGCAGGAACACTTCCTTTCGGAACCTTATTCATAGAACTCTTCTTCATCTTCTCCAGCATTTGGTTAGGGAGATTCTACTACGTGTTTGGTTTCTTACTCATAGTTCTGCTTCTTTTGGTAGTCGTGTGTGCAGAAGTATCAGTGGTCTTGACCTATATGCACCTCTGCGTGGAAGATTGGAGATGGTGGTGGAAAGCCTTCTTTGCGTCTGGTTCAGTTGCATTGTACGTCTTTGCTTACTCTATCAACTACTTGGTCTTTGATCTGCAAAGTCTGAGCGGTCCAGTCTCAGCAATGCTCTACATTGGTTACTCTCTGCTTATGGCGATTGCGATCATGCTCGCTACTGGAACCATTGGCTTCCTCACATCCTTTTACTTCGTCCACTATCTCTTTTCCTCTGTCAAAATCGATTGAAAAACTTGGACGACAAAATCTCAGCCGTTTGATGTTTTGCTTTGTCTAAAGCAAAATTTCAGGTGTTGTTATTTTTTTGTCAGTACTAGACTTTGTAGAGTCCACTATTTTACATGTTTCTCTTTTCTTTTCGGACCTATTTATAATATGTTTTTTCTCTTACAATTCCGCCTCTTTATGATCTTTGTTTTTAGCTTTTGAGTAGAAATAAAAGAGACCGTATTTCTGCTT